GAAGACTCTGACCCTGTCATTAAAAAGAATCTCCCAGCAGGTGGCTAGTGTGGCAGTGTGGAACCATAAGAATGCCCTACAATATACTCTACCACTTACCCTTATAAGAGGACTTATGTTTCAACTAGAAAAGTCAGATCTCAATGTCTGCCTAAACTCTGGGTCAGGTTCAATATCCAGCCCTGCCTCTTGTCTTTGCAGCATCAAAAGCAAAGTGCTACATAAAGAGAATAAGGGCTCCCTAGACACCCACACAAGTGCTCCCCATTTCCCCAAGTGTCACCCCTCTTGACTCCTTTGATAAATGACAGTGTCCATCCTGAGAAGATGACAAAACCTCTGACCACTCAGCATCTTGTTCTGGGCAGATTCAGACTATGACCTTGGGGAGCAGAGTCCTCCTGAGTGTATCTGCCCACACCTTCAAGGTTCCCATGTCTGGTGACTTGCATTACAGCCTGGGGTACAGAAGACAATGGCCCCAAGAAAGCCTTGCTCCTGAGTGTATCTGCCCACACATTCACAGTGCCCATGTCTGGTGACCTGCATTACAGCCTGGGGTACAGAAGACAATGGCCCCAGAAAAGCCTTGTTCTCCATTCTGACTTCATTCAGGAGAGGGAAGGAGCAACCATTGGCTCCTCAGGCCCAATGAGTGGGTGAAGGAGCAGGGAGGAGGGGAGGCCTTCCATTACCTCAAAGACAAGCTCTCAGCCACCTGGCCGTATAACAAACCCAGAGACTGAGATGGAGACTAGCTTTCTGTGCTGACCCATGTCAAGTGAGCCTCAGTGTGCAGGGACCTCTGTAACACCCGAGAAGAGAATATCAACAGGAATCAACAGGTCACTATATCCATGGATAAGTGGCAATGCAGGAGACAAGGGGTGAGATGGGTATGAATCAGCACTTTCAGCAATGCACCCAAAGAGCAGAGAAACTGCACACATGTCGTGGGTCCACAGAAACAAACTGCCCGATATGCCACTCCACGGTGATGGGGTTGGAGGCTGGGGTGCTGCACATGGTGGGTGTAGACACCTTCACCCTGGGCAGTCATTACAGGATCATCAAGATCTGGGAGATCCAGTCTATGTTCCTACTAAAAGGAGTGAAGGTAAGGCTGTCTACATCCATGCACATGATGTTTTTGAGAGGTGTGCATGTTACTAAAGGGTGGTCAACCAGAATCTTTCCTAAAATTGTTCAAACTTTGGTAGACACTCTAGAAACACACAACAGAGACAGGCAGTCACACACATACACAGAAACAAAGATAAGTTGTGCAGTGATAAGAAGATGCAAAAATTAGAGAGGATGCAAAAAGAAACAGAGAGATGTCAATAGATGCAGGTAAATGGTGGCAGAGGTGTAGCTAGAAATAAAGACGGAGATGCAATGAAAGAGTGAGAGACACAGAGACAGACAGAAAAAGATGCAGAGAGACACACTAAAAAATATACAGGAACAAAGAGAAATGCAGGAAAAGAGAAAGGTGCATGAATAGTTATAACAGAAAGAGGAGAGACAAAGACCTCATTGAATACCTGGATCCAGTCTCTTCTGAAATCAACTTGACCCCAGGCTTCATTGTAACATGAACAAACTAAACTTCAGTTGGGTTTCAATCATTTGGAACCAAGAATATTACTTTTATTGCTGGTTTTACTTTTCCCAAAACAAAAATTGACCTTGATCAATGTGACTTGCCAAGACATCTGAGACATGAGTTTGGTTCTCTGAGACCCCAGGGGCCACTATACCTGGCCCCAGGTAATTCCTCCATACTGACATACACTCTACCCACCAGGCTGGAAGAGAGGCTGGCACATCCTAAGAACACTGCACTGAACATCAATACCAAAGAGCCAGGAAGGAGGACGATTGAATTGTTCCCTCTGCCCACATTTATCACGGCACCCCAAGATGCTCTAGTCTCCCTCAAGGAGCAAAATATGTTCCTTTCATTCTACAGTGGCTTCCTGGCTCCAACCAGTTAAGAAGGCTCGGGATACAGACAACATATTTAATTATGACAAAAGCTCTGGAGTCAGGTAAAGGCTTTAACGTGCTTCTCTTGACAGTGGAGGGGGGTGAAGGGAGGGAGGGAGCGTAGGAGAAACAAAAGAAAAATGCCTTGGGATCCTTGAGTAGACTCAGCTGGCAGCCCAAAGGACAGACTCCAAGCTCACAGCCACCTCGAGGGGGGTCACAGGAGCTTACTGGCAGACTGCTTCAGAGTAACTAGGACTCTGGTCTCAGAGGGAGCAGGCTCACAGGCAGCTGGGAAGTCTGCCCAAGGACAACAAGCAGGCATTTAAGAGGAAACACAGCCGATCCCAGTCAAAGTACGCTCAGGAGTCAGCGCAGGAGCCCTGTAGAAGAGAGAGTGATCAGCACCCGGCACCTGGGACGTACCCTGTCCCCTCCTCTCAGGGCCCTGCAGCATCAGGTAAAGCTGAGATCTGAGAATAAGGTCCTCACCTCCCCCAGAATCTGTGTTGGGGTCAAATCAGCTGAAGAGGACACGCACTTCAGCCTCACGCAGACATGCAGGAGGTGGGGGAACAGCTGTTATTCTTGGGGGATATGAGCATTTCATCTTTTTAGCAAATTTAATGTTAACTAACCTTCTTTTCACCACTAGGAATCACTTATAAATGCCCACTGGCAGGAGGCACCAGCATGTGGCACAAAGTGGGCATCACCCCCGTGTCTACCACCCAAGACGTGGATCTGGCTCCACGTTTCACAGAAAGATTCACCAAAGTTAAACCTGGGTTCTGGATAACAAGCCCAGAGCTTCCTTCAGAAACTGGGCGAGCTTCTCCCCGAATCCTTGGTCCCCTGGCAGAGAATAGGCCATGAACCGCGCCCTTTGTGACCAGGAACACTCACTTCATGCTCCTTCTTCTTTTTCCTGTCCTCACACACCCTCCCCTCCCCCATTAAATCAGAGCAGAGACAGTACCTGGCGGAGGTCCATGAGATCCTACAAAAGGACTTTACACAGAGAAAGGTCTCATCGCACAAACAGCCAGGAAATGAGATAAGCAACTTAATTGAAAATCTATTTTCTCCCTACCCATCAGCCACAAGGTCTTACCCCTAAGCTACAACCCCCAAATGAGTGGACCTGTCGCTAGAAGGAAGGGAAGCCAATGCGCTGACCTTCTTAAAGAAGCAGCTTTTGGAAAGGGGCCAGCAAGACAGTGATGAGCTCTCAGCCCCAGGACATTCACCACCGTCATGCCTGTGGCAGGGCTGCCTTTCAACCAGTAAAATCCAGTCCAAAGCCTGGCCTAGCTGTCTGTCTCCTCCCACCACTAGCCCGGCTGCCTGCCTTCCAGGTCAGGAGGAGAGTTACAACTACAAGCATTGGATCCCTCAACAGAGGGTCCCGGGCACAGCCCATCCTCCCGTTTCCCCAGTTGCTTACCCTTCTGTTTCCTGTGACGACGGATGACGCCCAGGCCCAGGAAGATCAGCCCCAGCACGAAGCCCCCGATGCCGCTCAGCATCTTGCTCTGGGCGGATCCAGACTGCGCCCCTGGGGAGCAGAGCCTGTGTGTCAGCTTCTGTCCCCAACCCACAGGGGCCCTTTGGAAGCCTCCATCCCTAGGGCGGGACCAGCCAGTAAACACTTGGACACCGTTGGTGGTGACAGGGGGGGTGGGTCCTGTTCCTTCACACGCGTCCTTAACCCTGGGCCTCAAGCCCCGTCACCAGCCGCCACAGTCAGCCCTCAGAGCCCTCAGGCTGGGTTCTGGCTGTGGTGTAGAGTGACCTCCCTAGTGTCTGGAAACACCATGATATCAGGAATCTTCTGATGCCCCTGCCACGAAATGAAAAGGCCTAGCATCCTGTGATGTCCACTCAGCAGTGACATCACGGGTAAGGATGTGATGGGACAACCAGGGGCAGCTGTTTGCCCTCTGTCTGTGGGGACCAGGGTGCAGGAAAGAAACTGCCCCTTACGCCACTCCACTGTGAGGGGACTCTGGAGGCTGGGGTGCTCCACACGGCAGGTGTATACGTCTCCTCGCTGCGGGGTCATTTCCAGCATCACCAGGACCTGGTAGGTCCAGTCCCCGTTCCTAATCAGGGGGGTGGACACGACGCCAGCTGTCTCCTCCTGGTCATTCCGGAACCAGCGGACTTTGATGTGGGCTGGATAGAAATCCGTCACCAAGCAGACCAGCATGTTGTGGTGGTTCAGGGCCTCTGTCTTGGCCGGGGAGATGGTCACTGTAGGCTCCACTGGGAGGGGAGGGGTAACAGAGAGGATAATAGAGAGTGAGATGTGAGGGCACAGGCAAGTCTCCCATGGGGAGGGTCCTCCCTGAACCAGCGGGAAAGATCCCTGGATTCCAAGTCCAAGATGAGAACCCGAGCTGGGCCACTTGATTAGCTCAAGTAAACACTTGAGTCAGTTAACTTTTCAGGGTCAAGAGCTAACAGCAATCATTTTATGGGAGTTATTCTGTGATACCAACTGATAAAAATGAAGCTTTTAAATGTTTAAATTGCTAGGTTATACAGGCCACTATTCACAAAGATGAAAAACCTGGACTTCTTTTCCCTCCACCTGTTGATGGTGACCATGGGGATCAGCTCTAGGGACTCACACCTGGGCAGTGACCATTTCCTGTTGGTCCTGCAGCTCCTCACAGTGGAGAAAATACCTCAGTTTGAATCTCTGGAGGCATGAGCCCATCAGCACTGGTCACAGCTCCATGAACAGTAACACGGACTGAGAATTAGGAATATTACAGATAGTTCTATGTCCAACAGAGCAGGACAGCAGTGACATCACATCCTTCCTCCGAAGCAATGCTCTCAAACAGGCTCTTCCCTACCATTCTCAGCAGGAAACACGGACAGGATTTAAGGGCAGGAGCACTTCTCACATGTCACCCATCAACAAACTCCTCTCAGCTGTTAGCCTAACCCAGCTCAGATGCCATTCTGTGGCAAACTCCCATTAAATTGTATTATCTATAATAATAAAAGCATAATATGCTAATTAGACAGGACAGCCAAACGAACTTCCAGACGAAGCCAGGGCTGTGAGGGCCAAGTCTCTTGCATGAATTTCCTGCTTTGGGCCTCTAGCTAAATAATAAACTTCATGTCCACATCACCTATGCCACCTATGTTTTATCCATTTACTGATTCATTTTCATTCATTCAACAAATATAAATTCCACAAGCACTAGGAAAAGAAAGATAAACAACAGACCATGGTCCCTGCCCTTATGAACTTGCAATCTAGTAACAGAGACAAAAAAATAAATGTTATTTCAAAACTTGTAATTTTTGAAGGAAAAGAGAAATTTGAAAACAAGTAACACTGATAAACATCACGCTTGCCCATGTCTCAATTCCTTCATCTTCTCAGATTGCCTCTCCTGGTCGAATACAACAGGACTCTTCCTCCCTATTTACACATCTTATCCTTTGCCTCTCCTGCCATCTTACTGCATCTCCCTTATTCCCATAGTGTGAAACTATTCTAACTAGTTCATGTGTGTGTTTTGAAATGTGTTTTTATTTATTTATTTTAGAGAGAAAAGTTGGAGGAAAAAGAGAAATATTGATCGGTTCCTCCTGCATACACCCGACCAGGGATCGAAGCCACAACTGAACCTTTGCCCTGACCGGGAATTGAACCCACAACCTTCCAGTGCATGGGACAATGCTCAACCACTGAGCCACACCAGCCAGGCTCACTTAACCTCTTGTCAGGTTCTCCTTCCTGGGGACTGACTAAAAGCATGGTCAGCTAGCTGGATTTACAAAATATATCAGCTTACTAGTAGACAGATTTGGAGTAAAAAAACAGGGCATGGCCCTAGCTGGCTTGGCTCAGGGGATGGAGCGTCAGCCTGCGGACTGAAGGGTCCCAGATTCAATTCCAACCAAGGGCACGTGCCTGGGTTTCGGGCTCAATCCCCAGTAGGGGGTGTGCCAGAGGCAGCCGATCAATGATTCTCTTTCATCATTGATGTTTCTATCTCTCTCTCCTCCCTTCCTCTCTGAAACCAATAAAGAAATATTTTTTAAAAAAACAGGCATAAGTTCAAAAGAAAAATGTTAGAATATTTTTTAAGAAAAAAGACCTGAGATAACAAAAATATAAGCACTTGGTGGCATTAGGATGTGGGTCAGAAGGTGAGAGAGTTTGTCAGCAAAAGTTATGTGAACGTGTGCAGATAACACTGGGGTCAGACTAGGGATTCACTAGTGAACTTTCCATCCCCACCAACATTGAAAACAGGCAAGAACAGACTCATTTTGCTGCTTCTGCTCATAACTGCTTTCATGAGGCTGTGCTCCCATGATACACATGTAGTACACACATGCAATACAGAACAGAGTGACTGCTGTGTAGTGAATAACTGGGCTAATTAATTCAAGTATTTATTATGTACCAATATTAGCATATTAAAGTGTCATGCTAGCTCCTAGCACACAAGTAGTTGTGAAGTTAAATAGCATTAAACGGAGGGTGTTTGGTAAGGTGATTGTCAAGAAATAGATGCTCGTTAAATGGCTATAATTACCATTCACAATATCTACTCCTGCACGGATGGTGACTGGGGGAAGGAGAGGCAGGATCTAAGTCAAAAGAAACCTGAGAAAATTTTATTCACTCATTTAATAGTATCACTTTATTTACTTCAAACTTCAGCTCTATTGTGTCATTTGCTGAGCTTCCTAAGAAACAAAAATTCTGCCTTATGAACCACTGAAGTGTTGTTTTGCCTTTTAGCAAACACTTTTTTCCTCAGACTTTGCATTTACAAATTCTAAATTAAGATTCAAGTCAAAAAGAGTTTACTGCATTAAGCAAAATAGCACAAAATAATTAATAAAGTCCGTTTTTAAGGCAGTACTTGTCCTTCTGTTTTCTACTGAGCCGCAGTGGTGGCGGCTGAGAATTTACTCATTCATCTCAGAAAGGCTGAGTGAGCTCACTGGCCAGGGAATGTGTAGGCAGAGGCCCAGAAACATACCTACCTCACAGTCGCTGCTAAAAGAGGTGCAGGACTAGCAACAGACATTTAGAGAACAGAATTCACATGAATAATAATTTGACACCAAAGAGCCAAAACATAATTCGTCACGACTGTAATATATTGCATGTGTGCACGGGGCCCTGGAGGCAGCGTGGAGCCCTGAACCCACTACCAGTGATTGCGAACCTTTTGAGCTCGGCGTGTCAGCATTTTGAAAAACCCTAACTTAACTCTGGTGCCGTGTCACATATAGAAATTTTTTGATATTTGCAACCATACTAAAACAAAGGTGTCATAGGTTCGCCATCACTGCCCTAAGCACTCCTGATGGCCTCTTTATTTATTTTTTTAATATATATTTTTAATTGTTGATAGGGCCTCTTTATCTTTTGAAATTGTGCTAATCATCCACTTTGCCAGCAACAAAGGCAAAACAACAATAACAACAACAACAAACCCACAAAAATATTCACCGCACAATTTCCGAGATTTAGAGGTAAACTGACTGGCATTCCCTCCTTTGTTTGTGGCCTAAGAGATGCTTTTTGTTAAGCTGAAAGGGCTGTCAGGTCCAGAACTAAACTTTTGTTCAAAGACTGAGACATTTTTTTCCATGAACAACCTCGTCAAAAACCGAAATGTTCAAGATGCGAGATGTTCGAGAACTGAGGTTTAACTACCTGTTGAAAAAGATTTGTCACTCTACGTTGTTTCATGGAAGGGCTATTGTTTCTAAAGTCTATCATTTGCTGGTTTTATGTTGAATGTTCTATATTTACTTAGACTATCGTCTAATTGTACCCAAAAGGATACATGTGAATTTATTATTTTAAAAAGTATCGTTAAAAGTGTTTTTAAACTTATCATCAATAGTAGGTTAAAACCATTATTGCAAAGGAAAAAAAGTGTCTTTAAACTATATTTCTTTGGTGATGTGAGAACAAATACTTACAAAATCAGCAGGGAGGTGAAGCTTGTAAAGCTGTAAAATGGATTGAAGTAAACTGGACACCTGACTAGAGACCAGGACATCCTGGCCTAGTTTCGTGCTGTCCATCACTTTCCTCTGACTGGTGGCCACCTGCACACTCCACTTGTCCGTGTCTGCGATAATACAGACGGCTTCAGCTATGGGCTCGTCAAGCACTGGATGCTAGAAGAGAAGCACAGCAGGTCAGGTTTTCGCAACACTCCAAATGACCTCGGAATGTCCTGGGTTTCTGTCCAGGATTAGACTCAGTTCAGAAGCTGATGGTAAGAGCTACAGAAATTTATAGATTTACAGGGACTAAAATAAGAGTGTCATCATTAAATCATCATTTAAAAATTAATTTTATAAAAGCTGCATTTAATCGTTTCTTTCTTATACCCAGGAGGTACACTATAAATGTTATTAAATACTCATACATAAGGAAAAGATACATGCCCTCCCTACATTCAGGATATTAAAATTCATTTCCTTTTGAAAGGCTGCACTCTCCTCTTGAGATGGAAAATAAGATATTAGAATAAGGTGTAGGATGCTATTGCCATATCTCCAATAAGAAGGTGTGGCAGAGTAAACAAAGAAAAATCAACGAAAAAAATGAGTCCACATGTCACCTCTGACACGCGTGTCTTAGGTTCACCATCACTGCACTAGGCAGTTAAACAGGAGGTGGGCCTTGCTGCCGGCTCACAGCAGTGCAGGAGTGGAAGACATGGCACACTAGGACATGGGGCACAGGGACACGAGGACACGGAACACAGGGACATAGAGGCATGGGGCACACGGACACAGGGCACAGGGGCACGGGTCACAGAGATAGTGGCACAGGGCAAAGGGACACGGGCGGGGAACAGGGACACGAGGACACAGAGCACAGGGACATGGGGCACAAGGGCACGAGGGCACAGGGACACGCAGCACGGGGACAGCTCTGGCAAAGTGAAAGACAAGGAGGCACAAACACCTGTGTCAGGGAGGTGCAGAATGGGTGGAAAGAGGAGAAGATGCTGCGGGCCCACTGGGCAGGCCAGGCGGGTTCCTGAGCACGTGACCAGCTGAGGGATCTGTGCTGGTGATGCCTTTGGTTCCCTTGAGTCCCGCCCACATCTCCCCCCCTCCCAGTCCCGCCCTCGGTCTCCTCCCCACCATGGCTGAGCTTGGGTCGCAAAGGCCCAGCAGAGACTGGTTGGGCCACAGCGGGCTGAGGGGAGCAGGGCTCACCTCGCCTCTGGAGGGTCGTGCTGGCCTCACTCTGGTAGTTGGGTCTGCACACCGTGTCCACCTCGGCCCGCGTCTCCTCCAAGATGTCCTTCTGGCTGTTGAAGTATTCGACTGTGGGCCGCCCCAGCGGGGTCAGCGCGCGGTACTCCCCGACTTCGCTGTCGAAGCGCGCGTACTCCTCCAGGTTGTAGATGTAGCTGGTCAGGAGCCGCACGCGCTGCGTCCCGTTGGTGAAATAGCAGAGGGCCTTATACTGGAGCACGAAGTCCCCTGCGGGGAGCCGCTCATCAGACCTTGGCCCTGGGGCCAGCGCTAGGGACCTTCCTCAGCTGACAGACCTGCAGCCCCTTGGGCCTCGCTTCCTGCCGCCCCATCCCAGCCCCGCCCGGGCATGGCCATGGGAACTGCCCGCGTGTAGGGAGGGCACAGAGGAGACAGTCTCCAGGACGACCTGGGCCTGGATCCCGCCTGAGCCTGACACCAGCTGGGTGGGTGGTCGGGGATCTCACATCCAGGCCCCGCCTTAGAGCGGTCAGGACGCCCTCCCCTGAGGTCACATTTCCCACGGAACCCGGAACCTCAGAGACCAGTGACCACAAGCCAGAGAGTCCAGGGAGCAATGACAGAAAGCCTGGAACCCAGCCAGGCTCGCTGCCCCTCCTCCTGGCACAGACCTTCCCCCCAACAGTGCTGTCCTAGGGACCCACCTCCCAACCCCAGAAAGGGAGGCTCATCATGGAAAGGGCACAGGCTTCCGAGTTAGATCCGCTAGATCCCAGGGGGACTGTGCCAACCGCCAGCTGGGCAGTTGCTCAGAGCACCCATAGCATAAAGGTAATTGTGTAGAAAGACCAGGACACCTACACCAGGGGTGGTGGGAAGACTGACAGAGTTTACAGGAAGGCAGAATCCTGTCTGAAATAAATGGCTTCTCAGCATGTCATCATCCCCTCTTCACTTTCCCTTTCTCCTCAGTTCCCTCCACCATCAGCTCAAGGTGAAATCCCACCCACTCACTGTGTGACCCTAAGTCCCTGGGAGGAAGCTGAGCCCCTGCCTGTGGCACCAGGTCAGCTGCCCGGATGCCAGGGTTTGCTGCCAGCCCTCTGCTCAGACTCAGGGACGGGGAGCCCTTTCCCCCAAATCTGACACCACAGACCTGCTGCACACATTTCCCCAACCAGAGCCCCTTAGTTTTTAGTCCAGACAAGGTCTTGGGGACAAGTCTTGCTGTCTCTTCTTTGGAAACATTCTATCTTCAAAAATAACCATTTTCCTGTCACTGGCAGTGGCCAGTCTCCTCCCTCCCATTGGGACATCCCCAGGCTGGAGCCCCTGAGATGGCCATGTCCTCTCCTTGTCACCAGAAGGCAGACATGAGAACTTAGCAGCTCCCTTTTCCAAAGAGGAAATGCTGATCACAGACTATTCTCAGGTCATAGCCCCCCCACGCCCCAGCCAAGGGTCCCTCAGAGCCCATCCCGGTCTGGTGGCGGGGCAGCTGCCCTGCACTCACGTGGAGAGCTTCCGCCCTCAGCCACTGGGGCCCTCAGCGCCACCAGCCACACCATCACAGCTGCTGTCCAGGGGCCTCCGGGGGGCCACAGAGCCGGCTTCCCAGACATAATGGAGAACAAAGGAAGAAGTAAGGGGAGTGAGCCCGGCTCCACCTGATGGCTGATGCAGCCACTTCAGAGAATAGAAACCTGTGAGAGTGGCCACACAGGGTCGGCTAGGAAAGGAGCCAATCAGCACTGGAGCTGACCCACCTCATCTGTCTCTGGGCAGATTCTTTCTATGGAGGTTCCTTAGCCAGTGCCTGGAACCCAGCCTTCATCAAATTGCACTGGATGAACATTTAAAGACTTTCTCTCACTTATAGAAGGTGAATGCCTTAGGAATTAAAGAACCAAGAAAGAAAAGTGATTCAAGAATGGACATCTTTGTTCTTCTCTCATCGATTTGTGTGTGACTCTGTGTTTTGCACTCAGGTTTCCCCATTTGTGAGCCCACTGAGAGGAGGACCTGGCTCTGAGAGCTGATGTTGTGATTTAATGGCAGTTCTGTGCTGGCACTTCAGAGGGAAAGGCAGGGGGTTCATGGTCAAAGGCATCTAATGTGCTCCACCTCCTCCCCCTTTTCTCTCCATAATGATGGGGTAAGTGGTAGAGATTAAAAATCATAGAAATTCTAACATGTGATCGGAGATGAGAAATAACAAGAAGACTTTGCTGTCTTTATTTGTGATGTGAACAAAGATGAACCCATACATTACGTGCAAACTCACGTGCATGTGACTCAGCACGGATCATGGGGACCCTTACAGGTACATCTGTGCTCAAAACCAGGTAAAGACAACACAATGAAAGAGAATATGGTTAAATATAAGCTTCATGAACTAGTATTTTAGGGCAAATAAACATCTCAAGACTCACTTTCCTCATTATAATACAATAAAACAAAATCTTCATTGCATAGTTATTGTAATAATTAGAAATAATTATGTAAGATCATATAGCATATGTGTTTTGGGGTAGTAAAGATATTTGTTACAATTACAATTCCCTTCCAATAAAAGTAAATGTCCCTAGGGGTGTAGGGGGTGAGTAGGGGTTGGGAGGAGAGGGGTAAGGTGGAAGGGGGAGAATGGGAGATATCTGTAATAATATCAACAACAACAAAATATTTTAATTGAATGTTTCTCATAAATGTATAATATGAATTATCTGAAAAATAATGTAGGCCTTATTTTTAATCTAATTATGGAAGATGAAATGTAAGAAGCATAGATGGAAAAGGAGACAGAAGTGAGGAAAAGAGGGAAAGAAAAGCAAGTAATAAATTGGAAAAAGGCAAGGCACTCTAAGGAGTGGAGTAGTCAGGAACCTAAAATGGTTTTGACAAAAATATATAATGTGAAATTTTTACTCTTATTTTTTGCATTTCATTGTGACATATGAAGCCTCAACATAAGCCTGAAAAGATGCTTTATGCAACAGACTTGTATTTGTGGTGAATCAGAGTGCAGGAGGGAGGAAATTTGAGAGAAAAGAAATGTGTTTCATAATCATGTACACAAGCAATTGGTAAATTACTCTAATATTAGATGGTATGCTTTTGCCTTCATGTAATAAAAATACCCATTGAGACTAGCTCATAAATAAGGACATTTTTAATATTTTATAATAGAAATTCCAGAAATAGGACAGTCTATAGGGTCAATTGATTTAGCCTTTATCCATATCAACACAGATCCAGTTATTTCTATCTCCCTGCTCTTCTGGCTCCAGCATTGGCTTCATCCTACAGTTGGTTCCCCAAGTGGTTATAAGGAGTGTACTGGTTGTTTTTAGTTTGCTTACTAGGTCTATTTTCTTATCCTTATTGGTCCTGCTCTGTGTCCTCTGAGCTAAGGATAGCATCGCTTGGTTAGACTTTCCAGCTGGTTTCTAGTTGGGTTCAGCCAGTGGATGGTACCATCAGGAAATTGGAATGTTGGTACAAGGCAAGGACATGGTGTTCCTCCTCTACCACTTCCTGGTTGGCACACAATTATCTGGCAGTGGCTGGTCCTACCAAACTATAGCTCCTGCCACCTCCCTCTCTCGCTTCAAGACTTCCTACTCTTTCTAGTCTCCAGGAACCGCAAAATCCCTTGACCTGCTCACACCTTAACACAGTTACACTTCCATAAATGGTCCTGTCATTAAGAATCTTCATTTTAAGTTATCCAAGTGGAGCCCTGCCCAGGGGCGCAGGTGATTGAAATGTCCCATCACCAAAAGATTGCAGGTTTGATTCCTGGTCAGGGCACGTACCTATGTTGCGGTTTCCATCCCCAGTCAGGACGCATACAAAAGGCAATGGAATGTTACTCTCTCACATCGATGTTTCTCTTTCTCTCTCTCTCTCTCTCTCTCTCTCTCTCTCTCTCTCTCTCTCTCTCATCAATAAAAACATATCCTTTTGGTAATGATTTAAAGAAAAAATTATCCTCGTGGAAATCTCTTTCGTATTGTGATCCTGATTGGTACAAGCAAGCTGTCACTAGCATCTGTGGCAACATACGCACTTTTTCATATAACTGTGTAGAGAGACTGGTTTCACTTACTGAGAAGTCAACATACATCATTTGCCACAATCATTTAAGGCTTTTCCAACCCAGAAGGAGTCCATGACACAGGCAATGTGATTACCATGATTAACTTAACTAATGATATGACCAGGAGAGAATATTGGACATTTCACAGCATTTCCCCTGCAAGTATTAGAACACAGATTACCTATGGTCAGAAAAGGCTGAGCGGAAAGCCAGAGTTTCATCTGTCACTGGTGATGAGATCCTCCTTGAACCCAGTGTAATAAGAGGAGACCACATGGAGAGACCTGACTTCCACACTCTGGTGGTAATGAGGCACCCCTCCCCCGCTCCCTGCTGGGGGGGCAACAGTGGAGGGCTCTTGGGGACTGAGCTCCCAACCCCATCCAGCAGTGACAGAGGCCAAGTGGGAAACCTGGATACCCACCACCACCTGCCAGTAATGAGGAAATATTTATTCTGTCCCCACCAGAAAGGTGCTAGAGGAGGCCTATAGACAATATTTAAATGATATCTGGAGTCTTATAACATAATAGACAAAATGCCCAGGTTTCCATTCAAAATAGGTTGTCATACCAAGAGCCCAGGATATCTCAATTTAAATGCAAAAAGATAATGGGAAAATGCTAACTGAGCTGACCATACAGGTGTTGAAATTTCTGAAAAAGACTTTAAATCAGCCATCATAAAATTGCTTCAACAAGCAATTCTGATCACCCTTGAAAGAAATGAAAACAACAGAAAACCTATAAAATTACAAAGAAGAAACAAAATAAACTTTTATAACTCAAGAATAAAATAACCAAAAAAAGTTTTAAATGGATAGACTCACCCACAGAATGGAGAGGACAACATAAAGAATCAACGAACATCCAGCATGTGAGAAGCTATAAATCTCCACTGCACCCTAAAAACATGTAAAAATTGAACAAACTGAAAAATCAACATGCTTCTTAGACTCTTAATAGAAGTGGGTCACGGGGCAAGCCACTGCCCCCACAAATTCCAGAGCCCATCCAGCAAATACAGAGACTACCAGCTATGGAGGCACACAGCTCACAAGCACAGAGCACAGAGCTCCGGGGAACCTGCTCAGAGGGACAACTGGCCTGTAATTGGCAAGTGGTGGAGGCTCAGCATGGGCCGTCTGAGAGTTAAACTCCAAGGGGGACCCTGTCAT